CCTCAACCTCAAACCCTAAACCCTAAACCCTGAACCTAAACCCTAAACCCTAAACCCGAAACCCTAAACCATAAACCCTAAACCCTAAACCTCAAACCCTAGACCCTAAACCCTAAACCCTAACCCCTAGACCTCAAACCCTAAACACCCCCAAGCCCAAGTGCTGTGGTCAGTCAGAGAGTGCCGAGCGCTTGAGGGCACTAGGAGGGGGGTCTTCGGGTTCGCGAGGGGACTTCGGGTCTAGGGCTTAGGGTGTAGGGTGTAGGGCTCAGGGTGCAGGGTTTAGGGTTTAGGGCTTCAGGTTTCGGGCTCTTCGGGAACTTAATGCTTTTGTTTCTTTTTTAAACTTTTTGAGGTGGAACTGAAAGGCTTGTAGGGGATCCTCGAGGATGTCAGTGGCGTTTTGGGGGCTTCGGGGGTATTTGGGATCTTGAGGGGCTTGGGTGGTTTTTAGGGCTTAGTGCTTGGGGTTTAAGGTGTTCAGGGTCTTACGGGTGTCGGGTCTAAGGTTTAGGGTTTAGGGTGGCTTGGGGCTTGGGGTTTAGGGTTCTTGAGGTTTAGGGCTTCGGGCTCGGTGCCCTGACAAGACCCGGACGCCGCCGGGTCTGCTTCTTGTGGGTCAAAGTCCAGAACCTCAGGAAGGAATCTGATGCAGAATCCCCCGCCCTCCCTCAACCTGTAATTACTCTACACCCTAAACCCAACCCCTAAACTCTAAACTCTAAACCCTAAACCCCGCAAAAAGAACGCAGGTCCGCAAAGGCTAGCCTGTGGGACTATCTAGTCTAGCACGCGCTATTCTCTGCAAGTACGCTTATCTAGACCCAAGAGTAAGGTTTAGGGTTTAGGGTTTAGGGTTTAGGGTTTAGGGTTTAGGGTTTAGGGTTTCGGGTTTCGGGTTTCGGGTTTCGGGTTTAGGGTTTAGGGTTTAGGGTTTAGGGTTTAGGGCTGGGGGAAGCGGGGGTCTCGCCAGTTCTTAGGGCGTTCTCCACCCCATGCGTTTGCAGCAACAGGAGATCCGTGTACCAGCGCCAAACAGCTTCTCCTGAAGTCATGAGAGTTTTCGTCGTGGGGTCTGCAAAAAAGATCTTCTTCTCACGATCAACTGCAGCTGCGCTGGAAAACTTGCTGCGCATGTATGTTCAGCGTTCGCTGCGAGCGCGATCGCTCCTCTGCCGAAGGGAGGTGGGGTATGTTGGCAGTGTTCACCCCGAGCGTGGCCACCACGCTCCGCTACCACGAAAAGTCTTGACACCTATCAAGAGCTCCAAAGGTTCTCCAAGACATTGGTTCCGGTCAAAGCTACTCAAGCTCCAACCAAAGCAAGCAAAGCTGACACTCGGACACTTTCTTTTTCTCACTCTCGCCTTGAGCCAAACCAAGTCCAGTTCGTCTGAGCTCAAGCTTCCAGGCAAGACACTGTGTGAGTCCTACTCAACACCCAAAACAAAACAAAGCAAGGTCATGCAAACGTTCCCCTTCAGAGTCTTCTGTACTCCAAGTGCATCTCAGGACACATTCAAATGTCCAAGGTGCTTCACACTGCATTCTCATCACTGAGGAACTTCTCGACCAAGCTCAAAACTCGCAAAAACTCAAGGTTAAAACTCAAGCGTGCTTCATGCTCAACCAAAACACTCGAGTTCACAAAGTCATGCTCTTCACATGTCTTGGACATGTCTGCAACCATGCATGCGCAACTCTACGACACAAACTCCTGCAAGGTTCTTTTCGAAACTGAGTGTGTGCCGCTTCTGTTCGTCAAGAACAAAACAAGAAAATAAATCATCAACCAAACTGTGCTTCGACTCCATTCCACCACTCACTTGGTGATGAAATTCTTTAGATTCTGACGCAGCAACGCTGTTGTTCGGCCAGTCTCGAGCTTATGCAACCCTTCCGATGTGTCCGCAAAGTTCTCTCGGATAGGCGCTTGAAAAGCCTGCTAGTCAGAATGTCGTTAACATGAGCAATAGCGTGCAATCTGTGCATAAGTGGCACGAGATTCTTGATGAAGTGAAAACGGTGTTGCTACATGTGAAAGTTGAACACCCCGCCCGAGTAGCCTTTGGCTCTGCAATGGCGTGCTTGTTTCAACATGTTCAGACACTACATGACAGCAGTCCACGGTAGCTACATACTTTACAGGTCTCCAGCTACTCGCAGGCCTTGCGCGTGCTCAAGCTGTCCATGACAGAAATCCAGGGCCAATCAATCTCGGCCTTCTGCTGGTTGTTCTTTGTTTCATTCCGATGCCACAGCTCAAGGCTTATAGTTTGGAAACACACTGCAATCATTCCAAGGCACCACGAGCATGTACCATGTCCACATGTTCGAATGATACTGCTTCGGCCCTGCAAGCATCAGAGACGTTACGGTGCGGACGAAGGCCTTGCTCTTGACACATCGGTCGGAACTGCGGCTTAGATTATGGAGTGGAGAAGTGAGTTTTCTGTTCAATTCTCAAATTCAATTTGAAGGGGCTTTCGAAGAGGCGAAT